TCAGACCCCGCAGAGAATCTTAAGTAACACAGCCAGCGCCGGCGTGTTTCCAGCCGGTGAGGTGCCCTGTGCTAATTGAGACCATGAGCTGGGTGACCCCCAACACCCCCCCACCCCCCCTCCCCGGGACGCTCTCGGTTTTCCCAGGCCTCTGGCATGCTTCTTTCTGTCCCTCAATGGGATTACGTCGGGCTGTGGAGAGAAGAGAGGAGGAAGAGGGCTGCTCGGAGACCCATTCCTGGCTGATCACATCAGAAAGAGCTCTCTGGGGCTTTTACACAAATTTCTGCTCCCCTCAGCTGTGCTCCAGCTGTAATCAGGCTGAGCGTGGGGGGGGTTATTAACTTTACCAACTGTCTGCTGCTCACACATCCACTCTGGGGTGTTATGATTGGTCTGCTTCAGCTTCAGAAATCAAATCAAACAACAACAGGAAACAAAAACGTGTCCCATTTCGGCGTCAATTTGACTGAATAAAGTCTGAAGTCTGTTTTTCCAAATTGAAAAGTTAATCAGGATGTTGCCTTTAAGAGCACATTATGTACAGCACTATAGAAGCAACTGATTTATCATGAAAACAGTACACACACACGCATATATCTATATTTATATATATGAAATTCTGACAAAATATAATATATATGAATATGATAAGTTAAATCAAGATGATTCTATTGATATTGTCAAGTGGAGAGGCAACTTTTTATTTGGTTCAGTGGGTTCTAGCCTTTTGAAAAGGGCTCCTGTTTGAAGTATGTAAGCATTAAGGCTAAACCTACGTGATTGCACATTGGTGGACGCGGATGCATCATTAGACAGCTGTACAATTTTCAGATTACACTCCTGTAAGACACCATGGCATTTTCCCATCAACCATCTTTGTTTGATAGGCCCTCAGTTCTCTGCTGGACGGCGGTTTCAGGTCGGCCACCCCCATTAGCTGCTCTGATGGGCTCCCACATTCACAATCTGTCCCCTCGCTCCTGTTTTTATCCCTCATGTCTGCCAGGCAGGCCTCAGTGGACAGCGTGAGCCCCTTTCCGCCTGGAAGGAGAGATGTCCACTTTCAATAGAGTGGAGAAGGGACACCTGCTGGTGGTGGGTGGGCATGTGTGAGCCCCTGTCCACCAAGAAGCAGCGAGAACAGGCGTAGAAACCATTTAAAGAGATTAAAACAGTGAGACTTAGCTCCCCAGCTCTGAGACAGAGTGACCCCTACCACCCCCGGGTTACAGATATCGCGGCTAATCCTCGAGCTGCTTATTTATTTGCTTAGCCTAAATCAGACGGGAACCTGCGTCTGTCCCAGACTTTTACGTGAGACTTAACTTGGGGAGGAAATGTCTCTATCATCTTCCCACTGTGCACAGGGTGAGCCGAGAGGAACAATGAGCAGAGATCAGAGGGGCACGGCGGTGGGGAGGGATTCGTCACAGGCCGGAGACCATGGTCCAGTTTGACTTTAAACTGACAAGTCGATCTCAGTTTGGTTGAGTTTTACCACGAAGCCTTCCCTCAACTTAAGATAAGTGACTACAATGGTAAGTATTTTGGTCTTTTAATGTGATATCTTGAATCGTAACTCCTTAAATGGGTTATACTATTCAAAATGTGGAAAAGTAGGTTGAATTAAAGGACAAACAAATCACTAAGGTGCACATTTGGGCAACATACATAGCACATGGATAGATTCCCCGTACCATACTAAAGCCCCCCCTCCCTTCTGTTCCACTTGTACAAGGTTGAATCCAAAACTCTTCTGTCAGACATGTTGGACATAAACCAAATGCGTCTCAATCAGTTTTTCAATGTTCAACTGATTTCGCCTTTGTAACGTCTGAATAGCAAGGAAAGATCACGAAAGGGAGCAATTTATGTCATAAAAAATATATTTATGAATATGTGAGACATAAACTAATACATAAAGTTCATCAGAAAACATGTCATAAATGTAAAAAAAAAGAATTAAATATGTCACTATAAATCTATTAAATATTCATAGTTGGGGACGGCATGCAGCCTCCTTTCTCAGCAGTATATGTACAGTAGTCTTTTTTTTGTTTTTAAATGTCCTGGAGTTTGGTTTGATCAGTGATCTGTGGAGTCGTCCGACACGTCAATGTCCACATCTGAGTCGGAGAACTCCTCGTCCTCATCCACTTCGTCCGCGTGGCCTTGTGATCCGGGACTCTTTGGAGGAGCGGCCAGGCCCAGTTTGGCCAGTTTGGCCTGCTGCTGTTCCAGACTCTGTTTGCGCCACTTGATGCGTCGGTTCTGAAACCACACTTTTACCTGTTTGGGGGAAGAAAGAAAGAGGCGTTAAAAAAAGAAAAACTTGAAAAACGGCACTGCCGGTTCAAAATATCATATTTTTTGTCTTTGTCATCACTTCTCACCTGAGCCTCCGTGAGCTGCAGAGCAGAGGCCAAGAGGAACCTCTCTGAGCCAACCATGTACTGCTGCCGGGCGAACTCCTTCTCCAGCCGGGACAGCTGCTCGCTGGTGAAGCTGGTGCGCATCCTTTTCGACTTCCCATTTTTAGTTTTAAAGGAATGCAGCCCCGCGCTGACTTTGGACATAGTTGCTACGGAGAGGAGAGGAGAGGACAACCCTTTTAATGACACATCGGCAGGAATCACTTATCTATACACGCTCTGATCGAGTTCCACATTTACCTTGTGCGTAAAATGCTCCGCGACACGACGTCTGGTAGGTGAAGGGCGGGCAGCAGTAGAGAGAATATCCGGGCTGAGAGTGGACGGTGGGGTGCAGCACGTTGGGTGAGTAGAGGTACGGCGCGGGCGCAATGGGCAGAGGCAGAAACGGCGTTGAAGGCTGGTGCTGAGTTGGACTCGTCTCCTCCGGTTTGGCGAGCAGAGCCTCGATGGTGAAAGATTTCCCGCTGGGAGGCTTCGGGGAAGCGCATGCCGGTGCGTAATTACGCACGGAGTATCCATACGTTCCCATCGCTCTGTTCGGAACCTGCATGTCCAAAAGCTTGATTTCGTAGACTTCTGTTGGGGAAAAAAAAAGGAGGATGCTGCTCGAAGCTAGACAGTAAGATGAATGCTGCTCTTCTGCCGAGAGGCCATATTTATACCCAGTCGCACAAGGAGGTGTGAAGAGCCCCCCCATCGATCCTTTGTCTTTCTAAGTAGCAGATGAGAGGGACCAACATCCCGACAACGTATCCAATTAATTGGTGGAGTTGTACAAGCTGGGATTGTCAAACATCCTAACCCCTTTGAATGAAAAGGCTTTTGAAGAGCGCTGGGGGCTGGGAATCCGAGAGATTTACTGGGCAACAAATTCTTGCATGGATCTTAAGTCCAAATGTAATCATTACCGCTGGGAAAGCCTTGATGTTGCTAAATCATCTTATTTGGAGCCTTTTAAGTCCTGGCCGGCCGACAGATGCTTTAAGCTGCGTAACAAGTCACTTCACAATCGGAGCCTGAGTTTAAGCACACCAATTTACTAAGAAACTGCTGCGTTGGTTTATTGTTTCTGTCTAGTCCAGTTTGAGATGGCTTTTTTGTATTTTGTTTACACTAATATTAAGCGATTTAAAATCTCTCAAAGCTGACATGTCTTTAAATCATGTGGCACTCCTTTATATAAACAATGTCATTTTTCCTCCATCTTAGAACAAGACTGTTTCCAAAGTGCGCATTTTTGGCAGCAGCGGTGTGGATCTTAAAACTTTGTGGTGCTCTTTTGCGTAACAGAAGCGTCAGATTCAACAGGTCAGGTGTGGCGCGGCCGGGCCAACTGAAACTCCCGCTAATCTCCCTTCAGCGCATTAATCCACAGGTTGATCTTTTCCATCCTTTGAATCTAGCTGCTCACACAGAGAAAGGGCTTTTTCTCGAATCCTTCGACAATCCAAGTTGCCCTAAAGCCCTAAAGCTCGCCTTATTGTTCATAAATGCAAAAATGTGAATGAAATGAAGAGTGCATGTGTCATTAAGCTGCTGTTGGACACTTGTGGTGAACGTGGAATTCCCCCCCCACCGCCCCCCATAATAGACCCAGGGCGGCTTCTTAAAAGGAAGTGATTTCTTACACTGCCCGGAGACTTTCTCTCTTTCAACCCAGGATTATTGCCAGCTCTGCAAACTCTCCAGGCTCATTTCCATCATTTGGAAGTGGCAGAGAGCGTCTCCCGAGCTTTAAGTAACTGTTAAAACACATTTAAACACCGGAGCCGACCGCTCATTCCCTTTGACCTGTGCGCGTTTTATTTATTCTCCTCAGATGACACTAGAATGTCTAATGAAGAGGGCAAACACAGACGTTCTCCACCGGGGCCCTGAACAATGAGAACACGCCTTCTGATGCCCCTCCGGCCGGACCACCCCAAGACTCTCTGACCCTCCGTCCTGGCAGGTCCCTTAATTCACATCCAGTTATGAAACAGACCCGCTTTGAATTGGATGGTACAATTAGTGGTCAAATCAACTGACAGTAGTTTATTTGATAAGGTTTCTTGGTGGAAAAGGAAAGATTGAAAGCTTTTAAAACAAGTAAAACGGACTTAGTTTATTTCAATGTCTAAATGTGAATGTCTAAATGGTCAGAAATAGATAGAAATCATCAATGGTTCTTTTAAAAATGCAAAATGACCTAAATCAAATGGCACGTTACAATAGTTCTGTATGTTTTTCATATTTTGCGATAGAAAATAAAAGTGAGGACTTTTTTTCTCCCATTTTTACCATTATAAAGGATTAACCACTGGTCATAATGAGAGTGAACTCAGGTCCATGCATTACATTTAAGATTAAGCATGCGCTCATTTTATGGCTATTTTACCCAAAAGTTGTCCAACATCCTGCCATTTCTGGTTTCAGTGAGTGAAAACTGTAGTGACAGAGCCTGCGGTTGCTACTGTGGAGTGCTCCTCTTGTGTATTGGAGCCAGACAAGGAATACACGGCCCTTTGTCCCAGAGAGGCCTCCTTTCATAGTCATCGCCCGTAAGGAGAAAGAGAGCTAAGGGCTGCTCTCTAATGGCTCAATGGGCTATCCTTTCCAAATGAGGCTTTCACAAAAAGCTTGAAACTCATCAGCGGCGATCAGTTATTCACAATCTGCAGGTTCCCTCACACCCAAAGTGGCAGCTCTTGTTTTTTCACCCGTTATTTGGATAGTTTATTAGGCGTAAGAGCGCGTACAGCAGAAGAATTAAAGGGGTTAGTGTCATTAAGCCGTAACACAAACCACAATTTTAGGAATTGTGTAGAAAAAGTTGAATTCACACACGATGCCTGTGAATAGGTTATCCCTTTGCTTCACAATGTTTCCTTTTTGGAGTTATGTTGTCTTTTGTGGCAAAGCAGCTAAAAAAGAAAAGGAAAAAAAGAAAAAGAATAGTGAAAAGTGGCTAATATGTAGTCATGTTACTTACACATAACTGCATTGTGTTAGCACTTGAGTGATACAACCAATGCATTTTTAATTCTACAAAAATAAGCTTACCCTGACTGTCCCAAATGTGACATTGGATAGGTCTGTTACATGCTCTAAGATGGTAATCAGGTGTGGATGATTAAGTTAAAAGCGAATTATCAAATAACTTTTTTCCCTCTATTGATGAAACGTACATGTTGGGGACACCAAAACCTTATGGTTAGGCTGGAATAGTCAGTAGACAATACAATACAGGTTTAGATCTTGAAAACAAATTAAATCCCTGAATTTGTGCACTTGCACATTAATTCTACTGTGTTGCAAGTTTTCACATGAGACCTGGTTGGTTCCTTGAACACAACATCGACATAAATTGCAGGGAAATAGGATGAATCTGTAGGCTGTTTCCAATGTCCAGTCAACAGTAGAAGACGTGTTTCGATTGTTTTAGTGAGTCGAATCAGCACATTATAGTCAAACATTGTTAAACACTGTTTAGAATATGAATACAACAGGAATACATTTTTGTCCCTGAAATACTTTTTTTACTTATGTATCACATAGGGCTAATAACTGGAACTCAAAGCATATATTTGTCATTTTTAGGACTTGAAAGGTATGTGTATAAGTGCCACATATATATACTATTTATTAACAATATTCCCTATTGGAACATATACATTAGGGGGATAAAGAAGGTAAATCCTGAGGTGTAATTTGAAGTTGTGGTCCTGCATGTAGAGACAGTGCCTCTGTTTTTGCAAATCAAGCACAACTTTAACATGGTTTGTGGTTTCTTGGTGGTAAAGTGCTGATCCCTTTATTGAACAGCAAACATTTTCATGTTCAAAGAGTGATCATGAGAATGGACTTTATAAAAAACGTCCATTGGGCTCATATGCCAAATTCTTTTTTAGTGGGTGACATTTTATGTCACCGTTCAACCTACTGCTTAAGATTTTGATTAAACGGGGCTGTTGAAATATTAAAATGCTAAATATATATATATATTTTTTTAAAGGTTTGGGATAATGTGTATGTAAGTACGGGGGTGCAATATGAATTGTTTTGACAGTTTCTCAAAAAATCCTACGTGTCTTTTTTTTGCTTTTTAAAAATAGGTTGCCCGACTTCAAACAGAAGTAAAAAAAGACCCTTTGTACAGTACAAACCGTACAAATAAGTGTCCACTTTTGAAGGTACCAAGGTTGTGAAAGGTTGTTTAATGTCACAATAAATGTCATATAATTACAACATGATATCAATAGCATCCACATTTCTGATTCGATAGATGACTAAAGTCGTGGTCTCTGAGACAAACTTATTGATTAATTCCTGTCTTTGTAGGAATCGTCTGATGGAGGTTTGTGCAAACTGACAGCATTATCCGTAAGTATTCCTTCCACGGTAGCCCTAATTGTATGTGACACCTGCGACACTCTTCCATTCTTCATTCATATACATTGCATTCCAATCTCAGTTCTCACGTGATTGAGCGGGACAAAAGCATGAAGAAACGCCGTCATCATTATTATTTCTGAGGTGAAAGGGGGATCGTTTTCTCACCTGCCCGACACATTCGGCAGCGGCGGTGCTCTCGGCCTTTCCTGTCCCCGCACATCCATCTCTAATGAGTTTATGAAGCCGTTGGCCCTCAACGATCCCGAACGACCGGTCTCTGTGGCCTGAAGGGGTCATTACAGGTACCTGCTGGGCCTTGGCCCTCACCTTGACTATGAATGGGAGTCCAGTTTAAAGAGCAGGTATGTTCCGTCTGGCTCAAATACACATCCCCTGCCTGAGTGAGGGCTAAAACATACACACCGATGATGGCGTAAACCGGTGTCAGGTCTTTTCTCAGGGTGCTTTTTTGAGGGCATCTCTCAGGATTTGTCTATGTCTAAAAATGGTCACCAGCTTTTTTAAAAATCTGAACCTTCTGCCAACAATTCACATGCAGCTGCAGAGTGTGTTTAGTTAATCAGACAGAGTGAGATTGTAGAGATATAGTGAATCACTGTCTTATGAGCTTAGAAAAACTGGAAAAAAAAGAATAATTCCCAATTTTGAATGATTTCTCGTCATATCCCAGTTCTTACTGAAATATAAGTATCCTTTTTTTTTAAATGACTATGATTAAAAATATTCCAATTCATAATAAGCACAGAAAGCATTTGAAAATGCATACAACATTTTGATGCATTTATTTTTCAGTCATCGATCTACTTTTTAAATAAGAAAAAAGGTAACTTTAGTTTTACAATTCAATAAGGAAATCCATTGAATCGGTGGGTTATCTTGGCATAATCCACTGATGTTAGGGAGAGACAACAAGGTATAAAGCATGCCTGAACATGTACACTCAAGCCTTTAATGTCGTCTGCTTCTTGATGTACATAAGAAAGGTTAGCGAGGTCTTTGCTTGGAGCCACTTAGGTTTCCACACCTGCTGAACCTAAGTGCACAGACACAAACAATTCATTCACTACTCACTTGGAAAACAAATTCCCGAGTCCACTCCAAAACCGAAAAATTAGCTAATCTAACGATCTTTCTGTGTAGTTGTTGGTAGTTGTG